CCCGAGGAGGGGCCACCATGTCCTCGGGACTGTGTCTGTCCCCGCCTTCAAGGAGGCAGGCCACCTCTTGAAGACGGAGAGGAAAAAATATTGCCTCGGATGTAAAGGGAGAACTATTTGAAAAGCCAACGGTGGGAATGGAAAAAAATATCCTCCCTAACATTTTAAAATGCCTTATATACTATCAAGGAAATTATCTATTATCCTGAAGTGTGCACTTGATTGAGTGTACTTGCGGAAGCATTTGGAGAATTTTAGAACATCTTAAAAAAAAAACAGAAGGCAGTCAGTGGAATAACGGGGTACATGAACGCAGTATTATGTTTGAGACAGAAAATGCCAAAGACACGTGCCTGGGTGCTGAGAGTAATGCTCCCTCTCTCAAGCTCTCAAAATCACCCGGCAAAAACAACAAATCCACGAGCGGGGGAGAAGACCAACATTACCATCTTTCTTTAAGACCTCACTGCACACCTTGTAGACAATTTCTTCTTTATACCAACACAGAGACACATTCCTCAAAAGCAGGTTCAAAATTTGGAGAAGAAATGACCCAAGAATTAATTAACTAAATAGGAGAATGAAGTAAACAAAGGAAAAATTATCATATCAAAATAAAAGACAAGAAACACGATTAAATTAGGCTTCAAAAGACCCGTGAGAAACCCATAAAAGGCGTAATATGCATTTACCTGGTTTTTATTCTTTCATGATTTAATTTCTAATTTTATTCACTACCATCTGATAATTGCATGAAACACTTATGCTAACCATGGGCAATTTAAACTATTTTAATTTTTATTTCAAGGCCACGAGACAAAGGAACCTATTTATTGCCTAAGGGGATTTTTTTTTTACCAAAAATTACAGCTTAATCTTTCATGTTTTAAAGCATAGATTGTTTAAAATCATTTATAATAATGCTGTAGGGAGACTGTGCCTGGGTATGCAAAACTGAAATGCTAAATTTACAATTATTAAAAAAAATAATAGTTTGGGGGATTGACTTGTCCCTTTCCTTTCAAGACGGATTGGTCTGAAGTGTAGGGGACAGCTTTAAAAACAGGGTAAAGCCAAGGCCTGTGCGGGACCCAAGCAATGGGGCATCAGTGCATTTCACAGATGGACTGAACATGATGGTAGGTCCTGTTTTTTATTATTTAAAAGCAAATAATGGCATTAGCCTTGGGAACTACTTCATACACCTTTTATTTCATAGAAAATTGCTCTGATGAAGTGGGGGGTCATGAATTCTACCAGCCGCATTTTCTGTGACTTGGAAAAAGTCCCTGGTGGAAATTAGAGAAATAATTTACTTTCACTTAAATGCCAGATTTTTTTGGTTATGCTTAAGAAAAATAATTGACATGGAGACTTAAAATCCTTGCTGCTGCTACAGGTCAGGATTCTAATGAAATACTTTCAGCTGTTATGCAAAGCATTGCTCAATAGAGAGGAGGAAAACCACTTTCAATGGTGCCCCAGCAGAACTTAGGGAAGGGCAGAACGCCTCTTTGAGAGCAAAGGTAAGGACACTTTGCTCTGGGGAGAAGGAAAACAGATCTCAAGACACATTTTCCCTTTCGTTAAGAGCTCAGGAAAAACCTGAAAATGGTCAAATGTGTTTAAAGTTCCTTAAACACACAGGCCATCTTCCTCCGCTGTCTGAGTACCCCCCACTGGAAAAAGGTTCCAGCGTCTTTGAGCTGCTGACCCTACTGGATGGAAAGCGTGTGGATCCAGGGACATGGCGGCCCCCTCCTCTCTGCTCCCGGCACCATGGCTTCCTTGCTGGTGAGTGATGGTGCCAGTGCCCTCCCACCTTCCCGCTTGCTTGCTCGCTCTGTCTTCACCTGAATGCTCCTTCCCTAGCCAACCAGGTGGCCTCCAGCTCCATTCACTCTCCACCACGGTCGGTCTGGTGTGTCCTCACAGCACCGCCTGGCCTGGCATATATGGGGGGCGCTGACCTGCTTATTTTCTGAGATCCCCGAACCAAGTGGAAGACGCCTGAGAACAGGGGGCACGTCTGCTCTGCTCCCCGCCCCCCCTGGCCCCCTGCACCCGGGCCAGGGCCTGACACCAGACAGCCCCTCGTATCTGTTATCTCTCAACTCCGCTGTCTACACTGACCAACTCATGTCCTGTGTGCACTTGACTTCTTAAACTGACAAGTCTTCTTTTAAAGAACGAAATATTCAAATATTAGTTCTGATTCCCCAGAGCCAAGGCACATTCCAGCCCAAATATCACAATGGGAGAACATATCTTAATAAAGTCAAATGAACTCTCACAAGCAAACAATAGGCCACATATCATTAGCCAAACTGTCCACTTATGATAATGGTCCGTCTCTGGAATGGCAGAATAATTTCTATGTCACTACAATACTCAAAATATCAAAGTTAAAGACTTTTAGGGCTGATGGTCCAAACTGTGGGCTAAATGGCTCCTTGCCATTTAAGGACAAATTTTTTTTCCCTACTTTATTACCAATAATTACCAATTATTTCCTACTTTATTCCCTTTATTACGATGTGGTCAGCTTCTGCTGGTTACTCTTGATAAAAGGAAGAGAAGATGAAGACCAAGGTTGGAAAAATTATAATTTACTTTTGCCAAATATAGCTAACATTGATTTGCCTTTTTTTAAAAAAGCTACTAATCCTCTTTATTTATTTATTTTTTCTAAAAGATTTTATTTATTTATTTGAGAGAGAGAATGAGAGACAGAGAGCATGAGAGGGAGGAAGGTCAGAGGGAGAAGCAGACTCCCTGCCGAGCAGGGAGCCCGATGCGGGACTCGATCCCAGGACTCCAGGATCATGACCTGAGCCGAAGGCAGTCACTTAACCAACTGAGCCACCCAGGCGCCCCCCTCTTTATTTTTATATAAGCAAATAAAAAGCAATCAGATTATAATGACTTTCAGTTTTTTTCTCTCCAAGTAAAACAGAGTTAAAAACATGAGCTTCTATGGTGAGCACTGTGAATTGTGCAAGACTGTTTAATCACAGATCTGTACCTCTGAAACAAATAATGCAATATATGTTAAGAAAAAAAAAAAAGAAGATAGCAGGAGGGGAAGAATGAAGGGGGGGAAATCGGAGGGGGAGATGAACCATGAGAGCCAATGGACTCTGAAAAACAAACTGAGGGTTTAGAGAGGAGGGGGGTGGGAGGATGGGTTAGCCTGGTGATGGCTATTAAAGAGGGCACGTTCTGCATGGAGCACTGGGTGTTATGCACAAACAATGAATCATGGAACACTACATCAAAAACTAATGATGTAATGTATGGTGATTAACATAACAATAAAAAACAAAAACAAAAAACCCACATCAGCTTCTGACTAAAGATACAATAAAATGTGTGTATGATACTTTGTGCTCTTTTAATGTAATCATCCCATAGTCCCCATAGGGGAGATAAACATCCTTATTTAAGAAAATGTTTTTCAATCTGATTTATAAAAAAGGTAAATCAGCGAGGTCAAATGGTTAACTTGCTTTTAAGAAAAGTCAGTACTATTTTTATAAAGGGGAATTTATGTCAAAGATGCCTATTTCTTTTTTTTTTTCTTTAAGATTTTATTTATTTACTTGACAGAGAGAGTGCGTGCGCACAAGCAGGGGAAGCAGCAGAGGGAGAGGGAGAAGCAGGCTCCCCGCTGAGCACAGAGCCCAACACCGGGCTCGATCCCAAGACCCCAAGATCATGACCTGAGCCGAAGGCAGACGCTTAACCGACTGAGACAACCAGGTGCCCTGAAAAAGGTCTATTTCTTAAACAGGGTCATCGGAGGATTTATTTAAGTAACAAGTTTATGTACTGCATTAGAGTTGTGACTTAATTTGCTGGAAAAAAACCCAAACAAACAGCTGAAAGTTGATTTTTTGGAAATACCATCTACTATGCCAAACGAGGCCCGCATATGGTAACGGTACATTTTGGAAGACATTTTAGAGAACCAAGTCAACACAGCTCTGTGCTACTGCTGGGGAGGACAGGGCACGCACGATGAGTTCCCCCGACCTCTCCTAAATGTCCCTGCGGCGCGTCTCTGCAGCCTGGACTTGGGGAAATGTGTGCCATACCCAGGGTTTCATCACCAAGCCACAAGCTTGGCTTCTGAGGGGGGCACAGGCTCCCTGGGCGGCCCCACTGCTTCCTGCGGTCAAAAGCCTTAAGAAAGCCGGCCTGCCGTGTTTTTTGGGTTCTCCTGAAAGCGAGCCCCGCACTGGCCCATGGGAGTTTCTTCAACACCCTGCTAGTGTGCTGGGCAGAGCCGGCAGAGGGCCGTGGGCTTTGCAGGGCTGGGAGGGAGCCCGGCCAGCGCCCGGCCGTCCTCCTCCATGCACCCGGGGCAGGGGGAGCCTCATCTATCAAGGCCTAGAAAATTCAGAGAGGAAGAAAAGCCAGCAAAACAGTTTTTAAGACACAAATCATGGTATCTAAGCAACCACATTATGTCTGGCTCGGATGAAAAGAAAAATGGCATCTGCTTTTGAATAAGGCGACAACATTTCCGAAGAGAAAGACTTTAAATTGCATCGCCCAGAAGGCGACTGGGAGCCAACAACAAGGATGTTCCTCTCTAGACCGTGGGTTTTGAAAGCAAACGGGCAGGGGCAGGATGGAGTGGCTGCGAAAACAGGACGCCGGAATGATTAGCGATGTTGAGATGCAGCAGAGAGTTCTTGAATGGCTAAGGACCACGACAAAGAGAGCCGAACACACAGGAGGGAGAGAGGGAGGCCCTTCCTGGAGGCGCCCGCTGGAGCGCTGACCGGAGTGGGCGGGGGCCGGCCACCAGCTCGGTGGTGGAGTCCCTCCCAGAACACTCTCTTCCTTGTCTGCCTGGGAAAATCAAATGCACAGGCCTTGGCGCTCGGGGTCTTTAAAAACTTCACACGGGTCCAGCCCCCCCACCCCCGACGCCCACAGCCTGCGCTGGGCGCCGCCCTCCCCGCGTCCCCAGAGGGAGGGCACCCCCTTACCGGGACTGGTGAGGGCTCCCAGGGCGCTGCTTGTGGTGGACAGAGGGTTTGCATTGGTGGTGGTGGCTGAGGTCTGGGCCGCGGCCGCGGCGGCCGCCAGCGTTGCCAGGTTCTGTAACTGCAGAGCATTCATGCCTGTGGAGGGAAGAGAAACGCCGCGTGAGCAAGAGGCCCGCTTGGCCGGGCTCCAAACACGAGGGCAGCCGGCGAGAGCAGGGGCCCCGGGCAGCAGGCCCTGCGAGGGCACGCTCTGCCCAGCTGCCTTGGTGACTCGGGCGCCCCCGCGTGTCCCAGCGGAGCCACCTACTGCTTGCCCGGCTGCCTGTCCGCACCCAGGCTGCGTCCCCGACCGCCCCCTCCCAGGGCCGCAGAGATCATCGGGAAAGACGAGGAAGATTCTGTGTGTGCGCTGGCCACGCAGCTGTCCGGAAACTGTGAGCCGAGGGCTGGGCGGCTGCAGGATGAGCCGCCGGGGAAGCCCACTGCTGGCACCAAGAAGGTTAAAAGCTGCTCTGAACTTGAACTGCTGTGGCTTCCTGGTGCTGCCACCTTACCAGCTGTGGGACTCGGGGCGAATGGCTTCCCCTGGTTTCCTGCTTAGTGAGCGGCACTCTTCCCTGCTGCTCACCTCCAAGGGCAGGTGCCGCTTAAATGAGATGAAGATCGCAAACTGCTTAGCACTGTGATGGGCACCGCATCAACACCCGTGTTAGCGACTCTTACGGATGTCCTCTCTCCACACTTACTGTAAACGTGAACCCTAAAATGTGACCACGGTAGGAACTCACCAAACATCTGAGGAATAAAAAAGCGAAGGAATAAAAACGGCAATGCTGTCCTATTTTTATCTGTAAAGTGCTTGTATTTGCATTTTCGTGTTTTAAAGAAGGAAAACGTCTTTAACCAGAATGGATCTCTGGCTAGTGAAAACGAAGAGAGCAGTGAAAACAGCAGAGAGAAGTGAAACTTTGCAAGAACACGAGGGTGGGATCAGCTGAGATCTGGAGGTGTCATCTGTCATGGGGAGGCTGCCTGGCCTGGGGGGGGGCTCGGGGGTGGTGCCCGCATCGCCTCCCCACCTCTGTTTTGCAACCCAAGGGTCTCTGAACATTCAGTCTTGTCCATGATTCACTTCACACTAAAGTACAAGCAGGCAACCATGGTTTTCTCCCTACACAGAGGAATTTTATACAGAAAGATACTAGTGTTAAGTAATCCGCTTAATTTTACTTTCTTCTCATGTCTCAAATCCAGGTACTTAATAAATGCCTACTGAGCAAATTTAATCTGCTTTAGAGAGACTGGCCAGATCACAGCTTCCTTCTGTGTTGGGGGTGGTGGTGGATGGAAGGATGAGAGAATGTTCTAGCAACATACCTGTGAAAGCCCCTAGCCACGGGCGTGGAGCCCTCCGCCTAAGCACGGCTGCGAGCACCACTGCTAGGCTCACTTATCCTGCTCCTCCAGCCTGGCTGCCTCAGTCACAAGCCACTTTTACTCAGAAGAGAGTTCCTGATGTTTTTGCTGCAAAATGGCTCCTCATTTTGCTCAAAATGACACTGTCTTCTTCCAGGAGACATCCAGCCTTCTTGGCTTAGGGGGGAAGCCAAACACCTGTTTCTCAAAATCCACTTAGGGCCTGGGGATGCTTCAAAGCAGGACACAAGTTTTTGTGGAATCCTGCTAACCTCTGCAAGGGAAGTGCAGACTTCCACCAACCCTGTTTTCTCCAGTTAATGCAACTGGAGTGAGGACCAGTTCCCAGCCCCGACCCCCCACATTTCTGCTTTTCTTGATGCAGAGGCGTCCCTTCCTTCACCCGGTCCTGTGTGGCCAGGGCCTGGGCTGCACAGCTTTCTCTGCTGGCGACAAAGAGCCACGATTTCCTAGAGGCCACGCCTCGGCAGGGGCACCCATGGTTCTGAGTAGAGCAGGTGCCAGGCAGGCTTCTCATGCTTCACACGCGCTCCCTTCCTTAGTGTTCGTAACAAACCTGTGGGACCAAGTCACTGGTGGCCCTCCCCACACCACAGGCTGAGAAAACAGAGCCCGGAGAGGTCCAGCCCTGGGGAAGCAGAGCCTCTCACAGCGAGCCTGGCCTCTCCCTGCCACCGCGGCCTCCCCCCGATAGCTCCTTCTGGCCTTCTGGTTCCATCTGCAGCTCTTCTTTCCTCCTCTTCCTCAGGGCGCTTGCTCTCCACTTACTTCACTCAACTCTGCACCCTGAAATTTAGGGGGGATGGAGCAGAGGAGAGAAGGGTGGTGAGCATAAGACTTCCGAAGGAAATGTGCCTGGGGCACTCGAAGTCCACGTTGACCAGCTCCTCACACTAGCCACCACGGCCCGGTGCATGTCCGACGGTGGGCACAGGGGGAAGCTGCAGGGGGATGGCAGAGCCTGGCACCACCAGGCCTCAGTCCCACTTGCTGGCCTCCCGGGATCTGATGGGCAGCCTTCTCAGCGCTCCCTGCTTGGTTCGGGGCTCGGGTCCCCGGGAGCGAGGCCTGGGGTGCGTGGTCTCCAGCGGGAGCTGAGAATGGAGTTAGCCAGGAACTGGACCACACCTGTGTCCTGCATCTGGTTCTCTAAATCACAGAATCGATCCTTTAATTTCTTAATGTGATTTCCTTTTCCATCCATTACCAGAATCCCCAACATCACAGATCACTGGTTCCAGATTCCTCGGGGAACAAATGGGCCGTGACCTCCTTCTCGTGAGGACCGAGCGTGTTGCAGGGCTCTGTCCCTTCGGTGTGGTCCTCAGCTTTAGTCAGGGTTCTTAACCGCCGTCTGCCAAGGGGAGGCCGGGGGGCTGAAATCATGTGAAGAAGCGTGTGTAGCATGGGCACCATGTTCCTGGGGACAGAGCCTCGAGGTGAAGCAGCTCCCACCTACCAAGGGGCATGAGTCCTGGCAGAAAATCATCAAGCTGGAGGCCTGGGCTCAGGCAGCGGCTGTGTCTGGGCTGGAGTGGGGGGTCTGAGGAAACCAGGACTCGGAACAGACTGTGCAGAGGAGGGGAACCGAGGACAGAAACAGCTCTAGCTCCCGTTCTGAAGACGGATGCACAAACAAGACCGTGCAGGGAAGCCAGACGAGCCAGGGACTCTCTCGGAACTTCCAGGCTGAGGCTGAACCCAAGGGGCACGCACACTGAGCCGGGACCCAGGAGCCTAAGGCAGCGGGTCAGCCCCCTCTGCAGGGCTCACTGTGGGCTGGCCACGGGGCAACAAGGCTCCCGCTCCCTGCGGCGTGGCCTTCTGTCCAGCCCGATGGAGGCCCAAGGCTGGTCCTCTAGTGTGTCCCTGTAGGAAAACAGCCTCCCATGGGTGGTGAGGGCCCTCTAAATGCTGCTGGCCCACCACCCTGGTTACAGGGCCAGTCCTGGGGTACGACAAGCGCCTGACAAGTTCCTCCAGGGCACAGGGATCTGGACCCTTCCCTGCCAACAGCACACAGCCCTGGTGGCAGATGCTCGGCTCTTCCTGCCCCCTCCTGTGCTCCCACAGCCAGTGTGGACATCACACATACTATCGGTTCTATTGAGGGAAGGGCCTTGGGGGCCCATGCTGTCTCCAGAAAAGCCACCTGCTCTGAGTAGGGAAAGCAGCCCTATAGCTATGCATGTGAGGCCCTCGATCCTCTCCCTCTTCAACCACACCAGACCGTCTGGGGCAACTCTGGTTCTCCGACGTCAAGCATCTGCACACTCAAGCACACTGGCCTCCTCTGGGCCCAGCCAACACTGGTGGGGCTCTCTGCATCCCCATTTTGGTTCTTTTCTGTCGTTTTCTTGTGTCTTTGGGGTGTGTGAGCCACCCTGTTCCTTCCTCGCTCAGCTCCCTTCATGGACCCTCCGGGCTGTCCGCCCACTGGTCACCCTCTCCGTCACCCCCGCACGGTGATCTGGAGGGGGCGCCAGACAGAGCGGCCTGGCCAGGGGGCTGGGCCCCAGCCTGGGGAAAGGCTGTCTCCCAAGAAAAGCAACCGCTTTTAACCTCACCAAGCACTCTGCTCCGAGGGGCGCCACACAAACCAGGGGCAACAATCTGGGTGACTAGAAATACAAAACATTTAAATACATTTTATGAAATCCCACAGCATGCCAAGACCAAGATGGTAAAAAAAAAAATTGGGAAATATAGGCATTCAACTTTTCATTCGTTACTTGGGAAAATAAAAATCCTTCTCCAGACGAAGAAATGATGTACAAAACAGATGTGCAATATGCCTACTTGAAATTTAAGATTTAAAAAAATTATTTATAAGGAGAAGGGCATGAAAATTTAATTTAATGTTCACCTTAGGTAATTTTGTGTCTTATTGTTCATAGCAATTACCATAAATCTGCATATCAATAAGCAAGAACAGATGTCAGTTGTTACAAGTGCTTGCCAATCAGGTCTGTTAAAAAGTGACAGATGGGTGGTTATGGAATGTTCTCATAAGGCCTATTAGCACATTCGCAGTGAGAGGGTGGGAGGCTCCGCTCCAGGAAGGCCTGGTGATCTTCTTCGCGAATCCAGAGCCCCCACCTCGCGACTCAGGTGCCTCCAGGCGCAGAGACCCTCAGGTCTCCCGCGCACCAGCTTCTGCAAAGGTCTCCCCCTCTTGTCCTCTTGTCCCAGACGTTCTGGGACGGCCTTCTGGAGAGACAGGATCCCGCGCCGAGGAAGGGAGAGCGGCTTTGCTGTTTTGAGCACTGTGCTGTATACTCTGTTACTTTTAAAACTTAGGCCAGATTTTCTGGAAGAGAATTACTACCAGCTTCACGGACTCGGTGGAGTGCAGCAGTTCTGTCTCGTCTATCAACACGTAAACTCCTTTTGGTCGTAGCTCCGCAAATGCACAGATAAACTCTTCTTCTTCTTTGTTGCTCTGTAAATGTTTAACTTCTTTAATGACGCCTCCGCGTGCTGGGGGTGGGGAGGGGGAGCCAAACCAAAACTGCCCTAACAAAACCCAGCCCACTCTTAACACATGTGCAAGGCCTTCCAGAATGAAGGGAGGCCGCTTTCCTGTGCTGCTTCTCTGTGCACTGTTTTGGAGCGTGCTCTGCATTCCTGACCTATGGCTCGGGTTTGTTATTTGGCCCGTGAAACCATGTGCAGAGGAAGGTCACTGCAGTCTGTGTTGCGGAGACACGGAGCACCGGTTTACAGCTTTGGCACAGTCCGGAGCTCGGGTTCGGATGCGCCTGAAAGTTGGACCTGCCCCTTTCTGGCGCAGTGACTTGGGGCAAGTTTGTTAATGACTTTCTAATCCTCGGTCGCCCCACCTGTGAAGCAGGATGCTCGTGCTCCCTGGGATCTCTGTATCTGGGTCCGTCCTGTGCCCTCGCCCGCGGCTGTGGTCTCACAGCCTTATTATTTGACACTTTTCTACTTCAGTTTTTTCAACGGCAGTGGGGTAACGAAGTGCAGGTTTTGTCCTTGGCACGCTGTGAGGATAAACTGCGTGATGATTTCAAGGAGCGCCGTTAAAAACAAAATTGTGAAATAGGACCCTTGCTTATCTATCTAGCACGGTGCTCTTTTGAGAGGAATGCGGTTAGAAGAGAAATTCATGACCGAAAAGTCACTTTTCCCTAATTCCTTCTTCTTCTGGGAAAAAAAAAAAAATCCAGACTCTTAGCCCAAAGTTTCTGAGATTTCAGAAATTCATGGGACAAATATCACAGCTGAGTGAGAAATGGACAAGTTTTTCTTAGAGGTTTTAAGAGGGAAAATAAAATCAATCAACTTTAAGGATGCATGGAAAGTACAGGTGAAAGCATTCAGCTTCTAAAGATTTGAGCCTAATCTAGTTTCTGCTCTTAAATTCTATATTCAGTAAAGGTTCCCTTCTATAAAATCACGAAGCACATGTGAAGTTATTTTTAGTTTGAAAGGGAAATGGTAAATTATTTTGGGGAAACAAGTATAGTTGATGCCTCATGCCATTTTATTGAGACAAATACTTCATGACTTGTCATCGATAATTTTTCTCTTTTTTTGGCTTTATTTTCTGCTCAAACAGAAAGTGTTTTACTCATTCGAATGAGACATTTTAGACTTCAGTGATAAACTTCAATCTCCTGAAGGATAGACTGTTATATCTTGAGAGTTGTTCACAAAAAATTATTGCTGGTTTCTGAAATGATGTTTCTCTCTCTTTGGTGACAGCGTTCCAAGCCAGACTGCTTGAACTTTACAAGTGGAATTTATTTTATGGCGCCGTAAGACGTAAAAACTGCTTTTGAATCATGCAGGTGCCCATCTGAACTGTGCCACAATCTCAGCCCCTCAACAAGCACTTTAACCTCAGGTGAGATTTGGGATAAGTGGCCTCTTAAGATTTCATCCTATCGTGTCTACCGGATGTTATGGACCATGCGCTAGGTCACGTTTGATAGTGTACCAACTATTGCCAAATCCTCGACAACTCAACCGTGAAGATACCATCATTAGTTTATATAATGTTTTCTTGGCTTAGAAGGTAAGGCTAAAGTCAAATTTCTCAATTGAAAGAACAGGGCGTTTAACTTAAGCTTCCCTGGGAATATATCCAAAATATCAATTTCCATTTGTCGATTTATAAATGTAGTCACCCATCCACTCCAAAATAGTCAGTAGCACCTCTCAGCAGGGCCAGGCTGAGTGCCTCTTGGCTTGGGAGTGTTTGAGGAAAGTAAGGAAGGAAGGGCTTTAGGGCACCCCTCCCATATTATGTGGGGTGTCAGGGAAGCCTCCTTTATTTTTTAAAGATTCATTTATTTTAAGAGAGGGGGGGGGAGAGATCGCGAGAGCGAGCGGGGGGTGGGGGGGTAGTGGGGGAGGGGCAGAGGGCTAGAAAGAATCCCAAGCAGATCCTGCACTGAGCACAGAGGCCAACGTGGGGCTCGATCTCATGACCCTGAGATCATGACCTGAGATGAAATCAAGAGTCAGATGCTCAACTGACTGAGACACCCGGATGCCCCAGGGAAGCCTCCTTCAGAGAGGTACTTCTATTACCAGTTCACTTTATAATACTGGTCTGGATGACTGGGAAAGACAAAAGTTAAGCCCAGCTTTGGGAGAGGATGAAAGAGCAGGAGGCCATATAACTTGATTTTACTGGCAAAAAAAAAAAAAAAAAAAAAAAAAAAAATATATATATATATATATATATATATATATATTCCAAACCAGTATTTCAAATAGGAAGATGAAACTTGATTTTCCCTATGAATGAAGAAACCACCTTTCTAGAAATCACCAAGCAGATGGAGCCCTGACATCAACATCCTTGATCTAAACGTTCAAGGTGATGGTAGACAATGGACGGCTCAGCATTTGATTTCACAGCCTGTGCAGACTTAGTGTGCTGAATTTTAGATGTTGAAGGTTCAAGAACGGGGTGTTTTGGATGGCCCAGAGCATTTACGGAATGCCTTTAAATTCGCCACCTGCTCGATGCACCTTCTAAAGTGACTCCCGGATAGCCTTAGTTTCTAAATGAGCGCGCAGAGCATGTAAATGCTAACATCCTGACCTGTGGCTGGCAACGCAGAGGAGACCACCGTCTAATGAAAAATGACAGGGCGCTCTGTCCACCCGGGAAGATGTGCTTGGCAGTTGCCTCAGGACCCAGTGACCTTCTCTGCATAATTCAACTGTTGGAGTGGGAGAGCCAGAGGCTTCCTCTAAGGAAAGACCCTAATTTTGGATCTGGGTGGGTCCATACCATTAGAAGGAAAAATAAATCTTGCATTGGCTGAAAATATGACAAATCTTCACATTTATTGTAGAGCTTGCAATCTGGAGGTTTTCTCTTTAAAACACAGAGAACTCCCTGGATATTTTACTGTTGTCTCTCCAATTCCCTTCGCAGAACTAAAAATTAACTATTTGGTGTGATCCTTAGCTCCAAGGCCAGTTTCCCAAACTGTATTCATAAAGATACTGCTGAAAGACTGAACTACTTACCATTTTAACATCTATTTTTTCCCTAGTAAACCAAAAGCAGTATTACAATACAACACACTGGCAGTGTCAGAAGATTTAAAGCCCAGCAAATAATTCTGCATTTTTTTTTTTTAAACTGTAGGCCAATATATTCTGTCAGACGACAGGTTCCCCTTAGCCTGTAGGGCTGCAGGGGAAGGCTGGGCTGAGGATCACAGAACACATGTGAGGACAAAGTCCTTCCAGATCCATTCAAAGTGAAACAAACAAACAAAACCAAGGATAGCTTTTTAGAAAAAAAAAAAAAATGAGAAAAAAGGAGTTCTCATAGTGACAGGAAAAAAAAATCTAGCTTCTATTCTGTACTGTCAGGTTTCATTTCATTGAGTCAGGGTGTCCTTCATTAAAAACAAATGGTGCTTGATTCTAATGTGCCAAAAATCTGTTCTTCTCCTTGTCCTCTCCCCCCCATCTTTCTGGAATCAAACGAGGGAAAAGTGTCCTTGCTGTTCCTCACGGCAGGTGAACAGCACCTGTGTTCTGATAGATTGTGCGCGCTGCCTTCCCTGGCCCCGTGGAAGTTAGGGTTGGAGCCTGGAAGGGGACGCCGTAGGAGTGACCTTTCACTAATCACTGCACCTCAGTGACTACTGACATAGCTCATTATACAAAGAAATCCTTTATGACCCAGCTTTCAAATCCAGCCCCACTTTGATTTTCTCGAGAACAAAGATTATACTTGCACATAAAAGCTTCTGATGTACACTTCTGTCAACTGGGGTACCAAAGTAAAAAAAAAAAAAGGCACCCTGTTAATTGTCTATGGTTATCAGGGGACTGCAAACTGTATCAAAGATAGGCCTGCAATCTTGGCTTTCATTATGGAGGTCAGAATATTTGTTGACTGCTTATTAAAATTTTAGAAGGACGTCAATCATTTTGGCTGCCCTGGATAGAAGGAATCTTATTGGAAATTCCCCAGCAATCGATCCCATTAAAAAACAAAACCAGCAGACAACTCTGGAGGATACGACGGAGGGCTTCGCAGCCCCTCCGGCTCCCACAGTTTGAGAAGCCCGACGTGGGAAAGCAGCCCCCCAGCAGCGGACTCTAACTGTAACACCCGAGTCCGAAGGCGAACACGGCTGCTCATTGCTCTCTGTTCTTCGTTTTTCCTGCTTGTTTTCTTGGCCCTCTGAAGCCAGCCAAATTCAGACAACAGCACGGTCCAAAGCAAAGGCATGTGTCATGACTTACCAGCCATCTGCTGAATGCCACTGAACGCACCCAGGTTGCTGGAGGAGGTGGCTTGCTGCAGAAGCTGCAAAGGGAGGGAAAAGCGGACCGTCAGACCAAAGCGGAGACAGGACCAGGCAGCTTCCGAACCAGGGGCGGGGGGCGGGGGGTGGGAGGGTGGGAGGGGCGTCCAGCTCCCTGTACATTTATACAGTCGCTTGCTGCTTCCTATTCATGGGATGAAGATTCCCACAGTTGGGGCTGTAAATCCATATTAATGTCTAATCTCTATTAAGAAAGAGAGACACCGGGGAAACTCAGTAACACTGCTACCTAAAAACAATCAATTTAGTCTTTTTAACAACCAGGTGTTACATCTATTGAAACCAACGTGGCGTGACTAACGCGGGCTCTCTGTAGCCTAGCGGTTACCACAGCTCAGCTCTGTCAATCAAGGCCCATCCCTCGGTCCAACAGCTCAGCGGCCTTCATCCTCCATGGGAAGCACCTGGATTCATCGACTCTTGGGCCAACAGAGACATCACCACGGTAACTACAGACACACACATACCTATGCACAGCCACACAGGTACGCCTGTGACCACAGACCAAGACAACGGTCACCCATCTGAAGCTGGTCTTCATTGGCAGAGGGGAACATACAACTTGTCAGGATTTAGAAGTATCTGGTGTGATGTACAATGACACTGTGCATTACAGGTATGTCGTTATCTTTTTAAAAAAAAGGTTAACATCCCTGTCTCTGCGTTTTTCCCTGGCGCTTTCAAAAACACATCTTACCCCCCGAATCAGTGGGTATCACAAGGTAAAGGCAAGTGGTTACTGTTGTAAAGTGCTGAATTCAGCTGAATGATAGGTTAATTTAGGTGCTATACTGCTAACGTAGGTTTACTGATATCCTCTTTTTGATAAGGTAGATCAATACAGGCTTCGTTTGGAGGTAGGAGCAAACATATAGTTATCTCCTATGCACAGATGTACACAGATACCAAAAAGGCAAAGATTCACCAAATTTATTATTGAGAAATGTTATGAGACTATGTGCTTAGGAGGAACAAGACCAATTTGTGATTTTTTAAAAACAGCTTTCAGAATTTAGTTGGAGCACTGGAGAACCACACAGAGAGTCATTCCTCTGGGCAAGGGTAGGTTTTTTCAGTTCAATACCAAGCAAAGTCTACAACTTGGACAGGACTCAGAAATGGGCATCTATCCACTGACTTAAAAGCACCAAGTGGAATGGAATCTCAGTGGCTGATTCAACCTGAGTCTCAGTTACAATGATATTATGGGGATTAACAGTGACTGGTACCAGAAGAATGTGATGTTTACTCATCCCTCCTGACTCGATGAAATGCACTGCCGAGGTATTACACACAGACTCAGACACGCACACGAGGAACAGTGAGGAAGAGGCAGCTAGGGATTAACCATTTTGATAGAGAGAAATCCCTTCCTTTGGTTTGATGTCGTGGGTTTCCCATTCTCTTGTGGTTACAAGCCCTTACTCCCTTTCCTACTAGGTATGTTTAAAAATTAAAGCGAAGTAAAATTAATAAGCTTTACAGCTCATTGAGGAATTAATACTACCTAATGAGGTATGTGGAAATACCTGCAGTGTCCTTAAACTATTACCCAGGACTCTATCCACTGATAACCATTCTCCGGTGGGCCAGAGTCAGAATCTACCCCTCAACCCACAAGTAGGGAATGTCTTAGAGGCTCTTCCAAAGAAATGGACTTCCAACTGAAAGGGGCAGAACAAATATGGCCGAGAAAGAATGGGAGCCCACAGTAGGAGCAAACATAATTAAGATCATAAAAAAAGTTTTTATAAATGAGGTTGAGATGAATTCTGAATTCTTTTCCAGGGCACAGAAACAATTTGCAGATGCGGTCAAAGAAACGTGTGCCAGAGATTTTCGTCCTCCGTGAGCCATGGGAGAGGTGCCAGAAAACTGGGGACAGGCGCAGGTGTCTGGGTTTTTAGAAACGATGGAGCAGGAGGCTGGATTCTTAGAAATTATGAGAAGGTGAGCCTGACATCAACCTCTGATCCCAATTCTGATATCCATAAACAGATGGCCTGTGAAAAACTGAAAAGCACAAGTTTGGGGAAAACAGCTGACTGTTAAGCTAGACTCATTTCTTGTTTCATAAACTCTTAGAATGAGAGACCAAGAAAACACTATGGCAAAGCAAATACAGATTTTTAGCTCTGATGAAATCGCTCATGATGTCTTTGTGGATATGACTGAGAAATGGCTATAAGGTGACGGTAAAGTCAGTCGATGTCTTTATTAAAGGCTCAGCTGAAGATGGGAGGAGCGGGTACCTCCTTCATGAAGCAAATGTGTACCGAGTAGGAAGTACAGCCAGACCCCACTGGGCACGGGCCCGGCTGCGTAAAGGGAGGAAAACGAGCCAGAGCAGAGGGCTGCGATCCCGCTCGACAGACCGGTCTAGGTGCAGTTGCATAACCTCTCGGAGCCTCTTTCCTCCCCTACACGGGAAGGCTCTTCTTACCTTTCACAGTCAGAGGGAGGACTGTCGTACAAACCGCGCAGGCTCTGCTACAGAGTAAGGCTAATGGATCCTGCAGTCCCGGGAGGGACAGTTAAAATGTCAGGTGACAGAATTAGGAGAGAATACACATACACGCATGCATGCACGCACGCACACACGGGCACACCCCAAGAGGCTAGGACACCGGGCCCAAACTTGCGATATGAAACTATAGTAATCAATGTGAAGTCCAGCCTGTAGGTGCCAAAGCAGAAAAACGGGGTAGACCACCACGATTTAGCAGTGGTTCATGTAAAAATAAATAAGAAGCTGGACCTTCTGCCTCACGTGTGACGTGGTTAGCACGAGGACCCCTCTCAGGCCACGCAAAAATATTTTAAAGTCCACACTAGGGGTCACTGCCCTGTGTGCTGTTTAGATCTTACCAGGGGAACCGACTTAAATTCTGGTCAATGGATTTTACTAAAGACATAGACGGAGATGGGGTAGCACAAGGAATAGCAGGAACGTGAAAGTTTAAAACAATGTCACGTAAAGGAATGGTTGAAAGAACTGGGTTTATTTGCCCTGCAATAGGATCTCATTTTTGGGTTCCGAACGGATGGGAGAAACGTTTGATTTTGTCAGCGCGGTTCCACAGGGAAGGGCCCGGACCACCGGATGGAAGGGCCCATGGGGCTTCGCGGGGAAACCTCGATGGGACGCGCTAACCTCTGGGGCCACACCTGCCTTGGGGTCGCTGAACTGCCGTCAAGCGTGCTGCGTCCCTTCTTATGCAAGATGTTATGAGGTCTCTGAAACACACCGGTTAGCAATTTAGCCTCGTGGGACTCGCCTCAGCCTCCATCAGGCCAGAATGACATGAGTCATGTCCTCACGCTACTCAGGTTACCTTGGAAAAATTTTCTGCATCAATGCTGATTTCAAATGATTTCCTGAGATTCAAAATGCCCCCACATGGAATTCTTTTGAGAACTTGGCGGGGGGGTGGGGGTGGAGGCGGTTTCGGGAGGCACAGCGGGGACGGCCCCCCTCCGCCCTTTCGGGGCCCAGGCGCCGGCGGTCCAGCACTTACGGCCAGGTACTGCGGGGTGAGTCCGCCCAGACCCGTCAGGTTCCCCCAGGTGGCAGTGTTGAGCTGCTGCATCTGCTGAGCTAGCTGCTGCTGGAGGCGCCGCTGCTCCTTGTCCTTCTGAGTATCGGCGAACTTGACTACGATGGGTGAGGAGCAGCCCTGTGGTCAGACACAGCGGAAAGTGAAGAGCGGGTTACCGCCTGGCTGAATCCTCTCGTGACACTCAGCCCTGGGTCTAGCTCTCTCATCTCAACTATCTCTGAGCACACGGAACCGTCTGGAACGGTTGTATTTTTTTTTTTTTAACAGTCTGATACTCCTTCTTCTTCTCTGACCAGTACCATCAAGAGAAACTTCCAGACACTGTCACTGGTTTCTCTGGGGATCTGGCGGGCGGTGAAGCCATTTGCTCTCTTGCTCTGGTTATTAAACTGCCTCTCCTCCTCTCTTCGTGTGTCTTCCTCCAACTTTTCCAGGACCTCCTCAGAGACAAGAGACCTTATCATCGTTCTTTAATTAGGCTTCCTGGTGTGCTTGTCTGCAAGATAGACTTGTCTGTGTGTCTGCCTGTTTCCGCACGTGAGCAGGGGACAAAGGAGAGACGCTTCCGTGGGAAGGAAAACGTCCCTCGTTCATGTATTTATTTTTTTCACTCTTCCCAATTCTCAGTGCTGCATTTTTGAACTTTGGAAAGCGGGTGTCCTCCCGACCCAGCACTACAGATAGGGAGAAGAGGGTTTTGTTTTAGGAACGCGGATGAGGGCAGGACAGGTTCCGAGAACACAGGCACTGCCCAAGGTAACTGTCCGTGTTTTCAGAGAGGTCTCTCTTCCTTCTCTGACGGACCTACTCTGTCCACCCTGCTCAAGGCCCCTGCAAGCCACAAGGCTCGGAAGTATATTCTAGTGAAAGGAGCTGGATCTGAAATGGCAGGAGGCGTCTACTTGGCTTCTATCATCAACGGATCTCACCATTCTAGGTGCTTCTTTTCAGTTTTCATTCCCTTTAAAAGGCAGTGAGTAAGGGCAATGAGTGAGCGCATGGCCAAAGATTATAAAATAGGACGAATTCATGTCCGAGATGGATAAAATCATTAGGGAAAATAAGGGCCTGAACTTCCAGCATGAAGACTTCCCTCCCTGGGCCCCTCTGGAACATTCTCCACTCAGTCAACACTCAGCAGAGACATGGGCTCCTCCCTCCCTACCCTTCTCTTTCTTACTACAGCTTGCCTACACATTTCATCACCATTAAAGCCGTTAAATTTTGCTGAGGTAAAAAGAAGTCATTCCACCTAGGTGTTTTAAAAAAAAAAACTTTCATTGAAACTCAGCATGATAATGGGCCTCTCTCTCTCTCCTCTCAGAAATTTTATATTCCTACTTAAATGAGCTCTCTCTCTCTCCCTCTTTCCCTTACCTTCGGGTCATTTTTCTTTCTCCTAGAAAACAAACCTGCGTGTGTTTTGTTTTATCACCTTGGGTAGTTACTGGGGATGGAGCTGTGAATATGTGAGGCTACTGTGTCTGTTATTACCCAAAATTAAAAAAAAATGTGAGAAAATCGAGGTGGCTGTTTCAGTTTGAACTTCCAGCGTACTGGTCTTCAGCTCATAGCCACAGCCACAGGACAGAATGTTAAATGTCAGTCAACCGCATGAAAATAATATTTCCACCACTTAAAAAATCTATACTTCATTTTTCTTCTCTTTGTTGCTTTAAAGAGAGCAAATACTCTGAAGATGGAAATTATACAGAGGGAGGGTTTGTATGGAAAGGGTTGTTACTGTTGTATCAAATTTGTTCCATAACAAATCATAGCATCTCCTCCTAAGAGTACATTTACTATTTTTTTTCTTCCTTAAATACCAAAAAAAAAAAGAAAAAGAAAAAAAAAGATAAAGAAGCAAAAAATTAGGCCCAAAATAACTTGTTTAAACCATAAAAAGGAAAAACGGGATGGGCGTAGATTGGAGGAAAGTGGAAAAATAGAAGGTACGATATAAAAATTATTTTAAAGAACATGTTCTTTTAAACATTCAAATCATTTTGAATTCAAATTTCTTAGATAATACATCTTGGTTAAAGATGTGAGCCAGAGTCCTGAAAATAACAAAATTAGTTAAAAAAAAAAATCCAACAAACTTCGGTTGTACAACTAGAATGTGACTGGCATACTACACAGTCTTCCATTTAAATGTCAGTATTTTTTAAATTCAACAAGAAATTTCAGTGTCTGAGGGCCCCTCTGTCTGAGCATGGGTGTCCAGATTTAAAAACAAGTGCACCAAATTTGATTTTTTAAATAATAGAGATGTTAATACCAAAGGATCAAGGATTTCTTAAGAATGAATATGCCCCAATCTCTATAGCAGATTCTTTTCATTCTAAGCCTATTCTTCTTTGGTTCTGGCTCATACCCAGGTCTGTACTAAGTTCCTGAGCTCTCTCCCTGTAGGAACACAGGAGAACACAGACCAGCATCCTCTGCAGCTTTACTCAGGGGGGCACTGATGGAGGAACTGGGGTTAGAGCTGAAAGAATTTAGGTTAAAAAATCATCTAAGGTACAAATCACTAAATTACAGGAAATAAAAATGATTAAGAATGAAGCACATGTATGGAAGATAATAAATACAGGTGAAAACTTTTTTTTTCTTCCCTAACCGTACTTTCATTTTTATCTCCAAACTGAAAGGTAGCTGGGATTCAGACTGATCCCCAATAGCGGAGCAGCCGGAGAGAAAGTGGGGGACAAACACAGCATTAAGATGTGACTGCGTGTCGTACAAGACTGCATCCCTAGGTATTTCAAATCCTGCTAATTATCTCCTATTGTGGCCGATTTTCACCTGAGCTTGCCTTCAGGTAGGGGGGTGTGAGTGTCTTAAAAATGCATTGCACTGAAAGGAAAACACAGTGATTATATAAGATATGTTAGGAATATCAAAGTCAAAATGAAGCTCGAAAAAGACAATAGGCTTTGCAATGCTGATATCAAAACTCAGAAAAATACAGTAAACACTTAATGACAAGGCCATGCACACTCCTTTCCCCCCTTGTCCACCCACCTTCCACCTCACTGTAAAAAAAGTTGCCCACAAAACATGACGCAGAATGATCACTTAGCTCCCAGCATGCTTTGGGAGATGCAGCATTGCAAAAAACAAACAAAACAAACAAATAAAAAAAATAATTAAACCCCCCAAAAAACGGAGGTAAAAAAAGCGCAAACGATCCATAAAGAAATTTTTGCACATTAAATAAAATTGAAAATATTTTGCTTTTCAGAAGATGAAAACGTAACTTCAGGTAACACCACAGGGCCACCTCCAGAAAAGATCACCCATACACAGATATACAGAGTACAGAACATGCACTCCCAAATGATTCTACCAGACAATACAGAATAAGTAACAGCATATCACTCTTGGAATGCTTTTGTGCAAAATTCTGAAAGGCCAGACCCAAATCACAGACTAGAAGTACAGAGCCATCTATCTACGTGTGTGGGTGAAACGCCCACATCAACGTATCGATCTTCCCCCAAAGCTAGTATCTCTCATTAGGAGACCAAATTTGAGCCTTTATGTTTCTTTTATCGTGCGTTTTTTTGGGTAAAAAGACAAATCTAATTTTTCAAGGGATTCTCATACATTAACATTTTCACTGGTTAAACAGTGTAGGAGAAGTATTAATTGTCTCCTAACATTCTTGATGCAAAAAACACAATTCTGTTTGACTAAAGAGAACTTGACCCCACATTTAAAAAAAAAAAAAAAAGAACAGAAAAAAAGAAAAAGGGGGAAAAAAAGAACCCTGTGATCGGCACAGGGCAGGCTGCAATTTGGAGGGAGGGCTGTCAAGGTTGACTCCATACCAACCCTGGACCAGGAATGGACTGGATCCTTTAGAGGTCGAGAAGGAGTCTTGGTTTAAATTGCATCATGATGCTACGTTGCAGGGCCTGAGGCCAATGCAATAAAAGGCTCAAAAAAATAATGTACAGCACGTGGAAGGTTTTACTAAATGCATTTCAAGTCATTAGGGGAAAAATTCAGAGAAAGAGAGCGAGAGAGAGAGCGAGAGAGAGGATGAATATGAATGAATGGAAGAGATGGTGAAAGTGTCCATCTGTGATTGTCATGTGAACAATCCGCACAGGAGAGAGCTGCTTTCCCATTCCCCATCATTTGCACAAAGAAAACAAAGAAAGGGCAGATGATACAGTACCTCCATGGTCTGAGACTGATGCATGGCTTTGATTGCATTCTGTGCCATTGCCCTTGTAGAAAATGTGACAAACGCACAGCCTGTGGGAAACAAGGGGACAGGGAGCAGGAAAGACAAAAAACAACAAGACAAAAGGGTTGGACGCTTGTTAAACCAACACAGTCTACGAGAACTGCCACAGGACGCCACTGTTCTCAGTAGTACATAAAAATCAACAACTTCTCTTGGTTTTATCGTAGTTTGCTTTTTACTCACAGTGCTGACTTGCTAATCTGACCAAAGCAGAAAGGTTTATTGACTAGTTTATTTTTTAAAATGGAGACGAGGGGAAAGTATTGGGCACTTTTTTTTTTTTTTTTAAAGCCACGGGGTGGGAGGTTTGAAATTAGCAAGATCTAGTTTGCATTTTCTAAAATAAAAAGTTGCTATTTTACATTTTTCTCCTTGGCTGATCATCTTTACTTAGGGCATCCACACATTCGGGCTTTTGGATTTCAAATTCTAGTGTTGATTTTTAAGCAGCAAATAATAAAATCCTCACACCAAGGGCCATTTAGCAAATAAATGCCAAAGGCTCAAAATGTCAGCAAATAAATACATCTCATCTCTTCTGGATAGTTAAAACATATATATGTATACGTATACATTGATGCGATTCCAATGCAGAGAAATATACCCCATCCTGCAGGAACTGTTTGGTAATTATTAATTACAAACAAAAACAAATGCTCTGTTACTCTGAGAATAGTCAATAGTGCACATAAGGCAAAACTTTAAAATCTGCGTTGGATTTCTTAGTTGTAGAAAATCTTTATGACTTTTCCACGTTGTGGTTTCGGGTATGCATCAGAGATCTGACCTAAAGTCTAACATCCACAAGACAATGTAGAGTTCTCTGCATGTTTCCTGTGAGACCCCTTGAACTTTCCATGGTTCTTTATTTCTCGTGCCATAAACTAACCAGAACCCACACTGCCTGCTCCCACTCCTGGTGGTAGGTGCTGGCCACCGTGCAGGTCACCGCTCCAACGACATGGCTCATTGCCCTTTTCGCTAATAAAAACACTGCCTTCTAAAATTTACATTTTATTCATCGTGCACCCTTGGGCTTCTTAGAGAAAAAGACTGTGAAATTAATGCAGATTCAGGCTGATTTTATAATAATACCACAGCACACTAAAAGCTTAGCTAAAGCAATGCAGACTTATTTCACTTATGATCTCTAATGACTTTAAAAGTGCATTGATTTTCAGCTTCTTTAGCTCTGCACAGTTTGAACTTAGGTATCAGAGAATAATTCAGTGTTCCACTCAATTTCTTCAAAACATTATTATTATTACTACTTAAAAGGTTTCCAAATGAAGCAGATCTAAACACTGAGAGGCAGAAGCCTGTTGTCATCTCCGCGTGAATGCGTGAAAGTGGGATTCTGGCATGATTATTGCCCCTGTGGCCAGTAAGCCAAAGAGAATGTCCTACATCCAAAAAAACCCCAAAAAACCAAAAACAAAAAACAAAAAAAAAAACCCACAACAAAACCAAAACCCAGCAGATTGTCTGGTTTATGTGAATCAATTTGTGAGCCATAAAATATATTTTCTTCTTTTGCTCTGCATATGTACCTGGTGAGATTATCAAGTCAATACCATATTAGCACCTTTTAATCAAACAGTAATAAGAGAAAGCAACACCTGCCCATTATTCCCAAAGCACAAAAACATCCAGTCATGAAAATAAGTCAATGCATTTTTTTTTTTTGCATCATGCTGTAATTTTTAATACAACAAAACTCTCAGTACACGGGAGAGTCATCTCTCATTGACCTCCCAGTTCAGCTGGCCTTACAAAGCCTGAGGTCTAGCTTGCTATGAATGTCGAGCTGTTTCATATACTTCTCTGACATTATAGCAGCTAGTGAAGCTTACTATTAAACACACTGCCTGCACCTCCACTGGCTGTAGCTTCTGTCATCAGTGAAAGCGATCTGGAGCCTTCTCTGAGGCATCTAGAAGATGTGTGTGACAGATGACAGTACGTCTATGGGCTTCCATATTGCGAACTCCGCTCTATAATTCAAGAGCCCCAAAGTTACCATCCGTCTTAAATACCCCTTCAAAAACATTGTGATTATCATCGACATTATTAACAGAGGAGATAATGCTAAGATGATTCTTCTTCCGTATCTTGAGACCACAGTGGAATTATTTGCTTTTGCAAATAATCTAATGGAGATATATTTGACATCATGTGAAACCTGGCCTAACTCTGCTTTTAATAGTCAAGAAGATTGTTTCATTCACTTTATTTGCTCTTATTATCCAGGAACATGTGCCAAACTGACAGTTTCCAAATGGAGGTTAAGAATGCATTAAAAAAACAAACAAACATGTAAAACGTCAACAGAAATCAATAAGGCACAGTTTATGCATTTACCACAATTTCAGAACAAGCAGAACTTTTTAAGTAACTTAGTGAGAAAGATACAGCAATTAGGAGGTCTCAGAAGTATTAGCAATAGAACAATAAAATTCCATCTCTATAAACTTGAACCATTGCTCTTTCCTCTCTGAAACCTGCAATTAAAAGCTCGACTGATGCTTCTAATTATATAACTCTTACTGCATCCAAAAAAATGATCTGACAAATCTGATGACTCCTTTAACCTTTTTACTCTATTGGCAGTGGTGCAATAAGAGAGAACCTGTCTCCTCAGGGGCTCTGTCAAGTTCGGGGCTGTGTGCTGTGTTCAATTACTTAAGAGGGAAAATTACTGTCGTTTGTAAAGTGAGAGCGTGTGTTGAAAATTTCCCTCTCTCTGCCATTTTGGATGAAGTTCTGCAACTTCAGAACCCAATGTTTCATGGCTTGGTAGCTTGTTAACCTTTGTAGTTTCTGCTCTAGTAGTCCTATGGCTAGATTTTAATTTTCTTTTCCATGGCACTGAAAACATGGTGGTGGCTTTAGGATTAGGCCTCAAAATCTGTGGCTTTTCACTAATATAGGGTCACATAAGCTTCTTCCATCAAGACTGGCTGTCAGCTGCTTCTGCAAGCCAAGGAACTGACTTCCCATTGGACAAAAATAATTTAGGTCAACTGGCCCCTTCTACTAAAAATGAGCTTCTGGGTGCAGTGGAGTCCTTTGAATCTTGAAAGGATAACTGCTCTGACCTTGTGGAGTCAGCCCTCTGCTGTTCTAGAATGTCTCAGGGTCAGCCCTCTTCTGTTCTACATTAGTGGGTGTACTGTCTAGGTAGTCAGTTCTCTGGCTACTGACTAAAATGCAGGAGAAACTAGAATGGGGAAAAAGATCACATATACCAAGATAATGAAGCTTTGTTGTTGTTGTTAGGTAAGATAGCCTGTATATTATTGTCTGAAAGCCTCTCCAAATACATAATAGCTGAAAAAAGTAAAGAAAAATTCCATCCTTAACTGCAGCCAACCTGTAATTTACCTTACAATTATTTATTGTCTCTACTTTCAGAATGTCAGAGATTGCTCACAGAAATGAAAGGAACCGAACTCCTCCCAGTTCGGTGAGGTTGCCTTCTTGCTGCTAAAACAGATAAATGATTGACTGGGGAAAGGTTTCTCCAAGTAATTTCCTCCTACAGACAGGATCTAAGGAAAGCACGTGGCCCTGTCACAGAGAAGATTCTGGAACACATCTATTACACTTGTCATCTCAACTGAAAAGCTCTGTTCACACAGGTGTTCTACCTTTTCTCTCAGCTGGAGAATTTTGAGAGAACTAGGTGAATTCTTGGTCTGCACCAGAAATAAAGGAAGAGAGAGTGAGAGAGAGAGAAGGAAGGAAGGAAGAAGGGAGGAAGCAGGCACTTTTAAAAGCACGTACGATGCCAGGGCCTCTTGCTTTTCTGCCTCTTCTTTGAAAGAGAAGCAGCAGTCTGCTCTATTTCAACTGAGGGAAGTGTAATTTAAAGTAACTTGTGCGGCATGAAGGAGCTTTCGGCCTATGGAAGACTTGTTTATAAATTCCTGTTTGGCCAAAGAAAGTTCTTAATGCAGCCAATTCTCCTCGCTGTATCTTTTTAGCAGTGGCAGAGTTTATTAAACATATGCTATCAGTATAACATGAGAGCATCCAAACTAATACTCAAACGCACCATCACCAGCGCTGGGTTAGTTTATTTAGAACTGGCGTGGAGACACAGCTCGTTTATCCACCTGAGGCTGAGTGTAGAGCAGAACTGACTAGTTTGCAAAAAATCTCACCCCCGGGAGGAGGTTCAGAGACTGCACTCAGAACGAGTTGACAAACTACAGGTAATAACCCAGGGGTATTTGATACGAGTTTCCACATATGTTTAGATACTAGGTGGGCACGCCTAAGATGTCTTGATCAAAACCGAGTCTGCTCTGTGTACGTGTTTTAAAAGTCAAAAGCCCTGTCCTAATATTCTGATCAGATATAATGGAAACAAATGAGGATTTAATGGCTAAATCCAAGCTGTGCTTGCCAACATCCCTGAAAATATTGCCAATTTCATTTGTCAAGGGTTTTGGCAGGAGAATGTTGGAACACCATAAACACAGCTGGAATATTCTTAAACAAGCAGAAAGTTACCTTACATGGCAGTGAAGATCTGACTACACTTTATGGGGAAAGAAAAATGAGATAAACTCTTTAATTGTCTCCAAGTTAGAGATAATCATTGCCACGGTGCAGACAACCCTGTAGACTGTACCCAAATTGTCCATTCTGACTGTGGGATTATGGGTAAGGGAGAACATGTGTATTTTAGGAAATCAACAGGCTGAGGAGACACTGACAGATAAATGCCTTGGCTGAGAAGGCTCCAGCTTTCATTTTGAGAGCAAACGTCCCATTTGACTTCCCATGCATGGACTCGTGGTATGCTGCTTGCGTTCTTGAAGAAGGTTCATTCAGCAGGCCTGGGGGGCTGACCTGCTATTGCAGAAGGATCTGAGTAATATGAAGGGGCTTGAAAGCATCTCAAACCAGGTTTTCCAAATTAGAAAAGATGGTAGAACGGGTTATTGCCCCCAGAGGGGAAAATGCATGTTTAGATGTGGGCATAGTGCGTAAAGAGAGTCAGGCGCCTGATATTTGCTGAGTGCTGGTTTCAACGTGCTTGGTAGATGCTAGGTGCTGTCCGTAGATAGCCATGACATTTCCTGGGGGGGCGGGGTGGGGTCTGATCTGGAGCATGGCGCAAATCTGATGGGACTTTACAAATGGTCTTTCTTGCCAATATGGAGATGATGATTTTTGTTTTAAAGACAGTGATTCTAAGCCAAAGTCCAGAGCTGTGGGTCCTGCAGCCCACTACTCCGCATCAGTGGGGGACCCTGATCCTACAAGCCTGGAGAAGCCTTGGCTTCGTACCCTGCAGGGAGGCAGAGAAGCTACAGGGGTGGCAGAGAAGGCATGACAGGAGATGCCTATGGGGGGAGCCAGCGCCCCTAACTGCCTCTTTTGTCTTCATTCTTGTAGCGGAACTGGGCAAAAGCGAAGCCAGAGATGTGAACCACTTTTCTGTACCTCAAAACTTTTTTTCTCACTAGTTTATACTCGGTTTAGTATTAGAAGGTGCTTTTCAGAGCAGCCAATCTTTCCTTTCACTTAATTTTTATTTATTTATTTGTGTCTTAAACAGCTGAGCCAGCAACAGGCATGGAGACCAGAAATGCTGAGCACCCTTTATCTGCAGAGCCGCTAATGGGAGACACTTATTAATATTTGATTGAAAACTGCAATTCTTTAATAAAAGCAAAATAGCACGAAAGACAATTATTGTTCTTTTAACAAATACACTGATTCAGGAGCCGTCCCCTGTACCCAGGAGTCCCTGGTTCTCACTAATTGAAAAACCTACCGCTGTCTGGCTTTATATTTCAGAACAAATGCTTATAAATGAGAATTTCCTTTTTTTGCCGTAGGGAATTCTCATCAGTTCACCAGAAATTACTTTTCTGTGAAGAAGAAGAAGAAGGAAAAAAAAAAAAGCGGGGAGGAGTATTCTACTCTTTACACTGAGCCAGCATCTGCATAAAATACGGATGAGAGTGGCTCGCGTAACTTGTCTCAAATCGGCTGCTCCTGGTGTCCAGTGCTGGCTCATCAACCACATGGCAGATCAAATTAGCCAAGCTCTCTCGCCAAGTACTGCGTCCTGCTCTTTCCTGCGAAAGCTGGGGCGGCTTGAAAATCTCATCTGCGGAAATAACTCATGGAGGCTCAAGGAGCTCTAGACACTGCAGGCACCAACGCTATTCATTACCGTCTCCGCCGGAGGGACGGAGAAAGTGCCGGGTGGACCCGGTCCCGCAGAGGGAGAGCAGAAGCCGAGGTCTCTCCTAAGCCGCGTGGATGGCCCGCTTTGGCAGGAAATCCGCCACATGCGCTGGGAGGTGAGTGGGGCAGCTGTGGTGACTGCTGCCCTTTACAAAGGGGGAAACTGAGGCACAGAGCTAAGGACAAGGAACTGACTATGGTTGCGGTTCACGTCAGAAGTCCTGGGACTGGATTTCGGGGTCACTGGCCTCTGGGCCACTATAAGTTTCACTACGATTAATTTAAGGGCCTTCCTTTCTGTTCTTTCTCCACGCTGTGTGTCCTGGCAAATGGGAAACCGCTAAGACAGAAGTGTGACTGAAAATAAGAAGAGCAGAGAAGGGTGGTTCGGATTGCTACACTGGCAGCAGGGCAGGGACTGCGGCAAGAGGATCACGTGTTTCTCCCTGTTTTCTTCTTCGTCTAGCCACACTGCCTTTCCCTGCAGGGTTCTCCCCCCCCCCGCCCCCCTCCCCCCGGGCTGGTTGGCCTGAGCGGGCGCGTACCTATCAGGACTGCCAGCACAGTCAGATGACCCCACGTGGCTGGAAGGCTCTCGGGGCTGGGTGTGCCGGGGGATGGCACGATGGTCCTGGCACCCTCCTCTCCTGTGCGCTGCCGGCCCCGGGGCTGCTGTGGGCGGCGCCGGTAGCAGCGTGGGCGGGCAGCTCCGGCTCCGCCCCAGGCACTGTGTCTGCGCATCGTCTGCGCATCGTCTGTGCATCGTCTGTGCATCGTCTGCGCCTGCGCATCAGGGTCCCGCTCGGCGCCCATCTCGTGCAGCTGCCAGAGCCGCCCGTGCTTGCAGCGAGGCCGACTGACAGCCTTTGCAACTATCGGGGAAGGCTCCAGCTGTCCCTCCCTTGCCTCCTTCCTTTTAAAACCACCTTCGGAAGAAGACCGAGGCACCGCAAGCTGGAAGCTGTTCACCTCCTCCTACTGTTCCCCTCGGCTCCCTCCCGTGCGGGGCTCTGCAGGTGGGTGTAGGCGGGAAACTTTTGTTCTCTGTGCCTTCCATTCTAGCAGCTGACATCGTGAAGTTTTGTGTGTCAAAGCCAAAAGAACAAGTGTTCTTTCTCACATGGTGCTGCATTCAGCTAAAATGAGGGAGATGGGGGAAAATCCGTGCTTGGGGACTTAAGGCCCAGGCTTTTCTTTCAGCATGTGGTCAGAGACTGGGAATGAAAAGAAGTTTCTAATTAGCCCCAAGGAAGCTGCGTCGGTAAGTACATTAATAGAATGAGATCCTCTCTGTGTTGCAAACATATGGATTTCTTAGAAGAAGTGGAACGTACGTTTTATATATACACTCTGACTCCAGCCTCCTGGGCTGTCTCAGGAAACACAGTCTGATGGGGGTGAATGCTCAGTGACAGCACTTAGGAGTGGTTTAGGGAAGGATCTGTGTGACGCTGTCCAAGGAGAGGCAAACATGGAAAGCGAACACTTATTTCCCGCTGCCTTGGATAGCTGCTTGCAAAAATACTGGTTTTTGTCAGTGCTCGAAGCCACCATATCTGCTTCTGTCACGGTGACAAAGAGGAGCCTACAATCTTCTGGACCAAGTCATCTCTCTGCCACTTAATGGACTTTCTGCGCTCAGGCCTCCCGAAGTTTTGTTCTTTAAAATAAAACCCTCATAGCCCAGGATAGGCCCAGTGCTTCTGAGTGCCTACCTGCTCTGCGCTACATGGGAACACTGCCGATTTTCCTTGGTTTCTATCGCTGTCAAGAGGCCCATCCCCTTCATGTTTCTCTCGGGCAGAGGCAGGAAGCCAGAGACTAAGATGAAAACAACCCATATTCTTTCCTCCTCCACATCCCTCCCTCACCCCCAAAACATACTTCAATCTGAGATCGAAAGAGGTGTATAACGACAGGGCAGCCTGTCAGCTTCCCCGCTGGCTGGGAGAGCCTGAGCTAATATGCCTTCAAAACCTTCTTGACCTGAGAAATACAAGGCGATCCCTTCTGCTACGGTGAAAAGTTCACGGTGGATAACTTGATCACACGGGACACATTACAGGGTAACCTCTCGCTGCGTGCGGTGGCTATGTCTACCTTGATTGTGACACAGAGTTCCAATTAGCATTTAAGGGAAGAGACTTTATAGACGGCACACTCACCTCGACTCAGCCCGTCGGGTCCCCGGAGAATCCGGCATTCTTCTATCTGGCCAAATGGAGAAAACATCACCCTGATATCATTCTCATTACATTTCTTCGAAACCATTCCTATGAACAATTTTCGGTCTTCCACAGCTAGGAGATAAAAATAATGAATGAGCAAAGGCCATTTTTATCCCTTTTCATGTAATCAATGCTTCATTACCACATCAAGCTGGGGGCCCCCAGTCATGTGAGAGGAAGCAGCGCCCCAAGGCCAGCTCTTCTGACTTCCATGCCCCGCCCCCCAGCTCTGCTCTCCCACCCAGACCTTCCCAGACACTGCCTTCCTCTGTGAGCTCGTGCTTACCCCTACGACACCTTCAGAGGACAGGAAACCTACAAAAAGTCCTCCCCTTCCCGCCCTGTTTGGAGACTCACAGTGCTTACTAATATGTTAAAGCTCCATGCAGTTGCTAAATGCTACTGTGACAGAGAGATATTTTGGAATATGCCTTTGAATTTTTTTGTAGGTGTTCCTTAACTTGAATGACCGAGAAAGAAAAAGGGTCAGGGAAAGAAAAATGGGATGAACAGAGGAAGTGCGATAGGAAACAAAACTTTTAATAGGGCACTCGGAGAAAACCTTCTCCCCCAATTTCAAATAGCTTTGCCCCATGGATCCAGACAATAAGAAGAGATAAGGGAGATGCTCATCTCTCTGGAGAGCCAGTAAATAACCTGTCTGTCCATCTGTCTGTCACACTGGCTGTGCAGCTCTAACCTGGACAAGGCATGGTCTGCACCTGCAACTGAAGAGTAAGCCAACTGTAGGGAGAAAACAGGGCTGTGGCTACTTGAGAAGCCCATCGGGACGGCCAGATGCTCAGGGTGGAGCCCTTAACGGACAACGACACGCCCATTCTTAACCTTGGAAACTGCCAGGAGGGTAAGACTGGGGAAGGTTTACCTCTGATGACCTGGGAGATTTTCCTCAAAATCTACAAGCTTGCGCTCAGGATAAGTGGCCTACATTTAGCCTCAAAGGCTCAATTATCACTGATTTCAGGACAGTGTTCGCAGCCTTTTTTTAGGAAAGAGAAAAAAAAAAAAAAAAAACCCGTTCTAGACGTCCATGGGGAAGAGTCTTGCTTACTTCCTGTGTTGCATTTTAATCCATTTCTCGGGACCGGGAGCAAGGGCAGCTGGAGGTGGTAGCACCTGAGGCAGGCCGGCTTAGGGCCTTGCCGTCCACCGCTGTGTTCGTACCTCCGTGTTGTGTCTGTCTCATCATCTCTCCATTGCTCTTCAACTGGCTTTTATCTCTGTCTCCCTTATTCCTGCCTTGGACAGTGTCTCATTTTCATTTAAACAACAAGAATGTATTTTAGGCTTTCCAGGGCCAGGTGCTCTTGGTGCCTGGGTCGAACTGGCCTGGACACCCCCGACCCCGCGCTGGGGCCCGGGAGAGATCTGTGGGGGAAGCAGGGATGGGACACAGGGAGGTTTGCTCTGAAGCCACACCCGTCCACGAGGGGAACCCTTCTGCCTGTGGTGTCCACTGCAGTAGCTAAAGCCACGCGTGGCTCCTGAGCCTTGAACCGTGGCCAGTGTGACTGAGAAACTGAATTGTTATTGTGATTTAACTGTAACTAATTTAAATTTAAAAAGCCACAGGTGACATTCTAGTGGACAGCGCAGCTCTGAGAGGCCTGAGTGAGGCAGCTAAGTGCTCCTTCCTGTACAGCCCAGACTGGAAGGGAGAGACTTGAAAGATGTTTTGTCTCACTCTAAAAGACACCCACCCCACCCCGTGGGGCAGGGAGGGAACTTGCCTGGGGTCATTCAGCAAGGAGGGGGCCTAACCTGGACCACACCTGCTGCCCCGCTCCTGGCTCCAGTCCTGTCCCCGGTGGTGCTGTTTCCTACGAGAGCAGAGGAGTGAAAGGAGGCCTCCAGGGGTGGGCAGGGCCAGGTCAGGAGACTTGCCTGGTCCCAGCCCTGCCATTGAGTTGATGTGAGACCTTGGGGAGTGAGAAAACTTCTGTGGACCTTGGTCTTATCATCCATAAAATGGGTTTCAACTCTTCTCTATCCTTGCTGTCTTTCTTAAGGAACAGAGAGAAGTGGGGCGGGGTGGGGGGGTGGGCAGAAACGCTGAAGCCCAGAATCCCACCCACCAGCCGCGCTCTGCACTTGGGCAGCTCCTGAGATAGTGCAGAGAAACTCGGGCTCTGAGGACCATTGGAAGCCACGATGCCACAGCACCTTGAGCTGCCGATTGTGTGCCAAGAGCTTGAGAAAGGCATGTAAGCTGGCCTTTAAGGAGCACAGGGAGAGACTGGTAGAAGCATGGGGGCAGCACAAGGTATAAGGAAAGGAACACCCTGTCCTGGGTGTAACTGCTACCCAGCAATGGGTACGTCAAAGTGGACGTGGGCAATGGCATCACTGGCTCTGAGTCGTAGGGGGAAGCTGGTGAGGACCTGCCTTCCTCCCTGAGATAACAATCTTACATTTAAGAAGCGCTTTTCTTTCCCATCAAGCAGGTGAGCTACCAGTGGTCTATGGGTTAGTGGTGGGAGTAGCATCTGTGCTCACCAACAGCGGGGTCACCAGGATGACACGGTGGCCCAGAGGGAACACGGCATCCCCCCGATGGGAAGGAACGGACTGAAGCGCTGCAGAGCAGGGAGCGGCCAACTTCTAGTCGCAGTTGTAGCCTTCTCCCTGCCCCCCATCTCTAGGACCTCTACCTGAGGAAGCTGTGGCTAATATCTTCTTGAGACTAAAAAAAAAAAAAATCCTATTGAATTTCTTCTTATTTTGAAGGATCCCGTTTTAGTTCTTTCAAACAAAAGCAAATGATAAATTGCCAGTGAGTCCTTGGTTTCACTGGGAAACCTATCATGATGGCATGGAGCTAAAACACTGCAGGTTTGGAGCTCCAGGGTGATGCAGGCATAAGCTAAATGTGCAGCTCCCGAATAAGCTTAAAGGATGATTTTTCCTAAGAGGCATAGTAAGAACTGGAAACAACTGCTCAACAAACCCTGGCTTCCGAGGCATCCCGCCGGCTAAACCTGGGCAGGGAGATGGAAGAGAACGCTCTTTTCAATGCTAAGTAGCAGCCAAGGAAATAGAACGGAAACCTACACCTCCCAGATGCTTTCCGAAATGCCGATGTCCTCCCAGGCGTGCGCCCCATCCAGGAAGCTGGATGTTTGCAATCACTAGAGCCCTAGTACCTCTGTGGCTCTAACAGCTGGGGCCGTGCGTGCTTTAAGGGCAAACGGGGAGAACTACTCACTCCCCGCTTTCTTCCCCCTCGAGTTTTCCCAGTGAAAATTTATTTGTAAAACCTATTCCTGGGATTCCCAGTCTGAGGATCCTTAAACAGCTTTGTCAGCATTTTAAATAAACATAATTATCGTGCATTCACTGAACTGTCCATCAATTTTTGATGAGTTTCTTGGTGGGGTTTTTTCCACCAAGTGGAAGTGAGTGCGGCTCATTTAGGTTTTCAATCCACGCGAATGCGGATTGCTTCAACAAACCTGTGTTTACAGTATCCTGTTAAGTGCTTTACGGAAATTAAAAAAAAAAAAAAAGGAAGGCAAGAAAGAAAAGCCTACTTTCCTTCAGGATAACAGATGAATGAGCAAGGGGCGATACTTTTTACCCCGAGTGCTGTGCGGGTGGGGCGACCCCATCACTCATTACGACCGGACTGGAAGCTATTCCATAACCAGGGACCATTTCAAGCTCTCCTCCCGTGGCATGAGAATGGGTTAATATTTTAAGTTTTAAGTGGGGACTTTTTTAAGTTCGAGGAATAGAAACTTCGTTTTTGAAAAATCCCTAATTGTAAGTCTGTGCGAACACCCTGGTGTACAATCTGTCAAAGTCACACCTGGATTCAGGGCGGCCTGAATTAATTAACAACTTTTCAATGTGTTAGTGCTAACATATGGCATTTAATTACTGCCTCCAAATCCGTGAGTCTCTCCACTTTGAATTTCAAAATTATTTCTTCCTCCTCCAGTGCATTGGAAAGTGACCGGATGGGGATGCCCTGTGATTCCCATCTTTACTGGAGGCTTGCAAACCTGCAACCTCCCTGACCACGTTCCATCATTTTGACCCTGTGAGCTCTGAACTCAATGCATGGACACCAGGGGTTTCAGAGGCCTTGAGAAAAGAGAAAGGGCTTACTTGGCATTTCTGGATGTGAGGCTCTAAGGAGCCCCGACAAGTTGTGAGGTTGGAGGGTTCAAGCAGGATGCATTTATGTTCTGTCTACAGAGTAAAACAAAACAAAAACACCAACCCTTTCAACCAGAAGCACGACATAAGAGTGAACACTGGCTGGTCGCTGAGACCCCCAGCACAGAACCAAAGGCAACCTCTATGCTTTTCTTATCACTTACTGCTAGACAAACTTCAGATCCGGCAACTGCATGTACTTTTCAATCTTGCACAGGTGGTACCTTTTCCTGCATAGCAAACAAAGCTGGAAAAGAGGCCTTCCCATGGTATACAGAATGAAAGATAGTAACTATGTGCTAGGGTATGCTGCAATCCAGAATCCACACCTCCTCAATCAAGCCTCTTCCCCTGCCATTACTCAACTGTATGCAGTGGAAGAATGGTAAGAAAACTTGGAGTCTGTGAAATTTGGGTATTTATTCAGTGTGTTCTTCCTAAAGACCCCAGTATTTTATTGCTGATCCAGAATGGGATTTTTTTTTGAACACCTGGCACAGTTAGAAGTAAAATGCTATGAGTTTGCAGAAATATGCTAGAGGCTGCAGCTTAAATCAGAGCCAATTAAGAGGGCAGGCTCTAGGAGACCTGGAGATCTGGAAAGCCTGTGTAGGAAAATGCTGAAGGGCGGGGCAGATCCAAGAGCAACCGAGTGTGTTTGGGCTTACCACAGTGGTTCCCTTTGTCAGAATCTCTAGATGGATGAAGGCTTCAAAGAGCGATTGCTTTCTGGAATTCATTTGTCCATCACTAATTAATCAGTGATTAGCAGCCCTTTCTTGCTCAGCAAATACAAAGTTTCCGAAAGCCGAACATACTGATAATGAAGATGGTTACTGTCTAACTGTGATGAGTCCTTTGTGCTATCCATAAATGTCAGCAAACTCAATAAAGGTGCAATTAGAGCTCGTTATCTCTCTTTCACAACTCCAGGAGCTATTGAGAGCATCTGAGCCAAAGAAATCTTTGTGCTCTATGAGCTTTGGAAACCACGCTTACCTGTCAAAACTGCCATGTGAAATCAGAAAGGACTTGCACCTTTTATCACTTGCTTTCGAAAATGATACATCACTCCTGATTCCTCAGCCAGGTCCAAGGAGAACCCTGAGGCCTGTTCCGTCTCTCAAGGTGAGGCACAGACTTTGCACCTCCATAAGGAAAAATGCCTTAAAAGGAGCTTTCAGTCCACTTACACTTTTTGACTCCCCCCCCGCCCCCCCCGGAAACTCAGAAAGTGAAGGTCAATCTATAAAGCAAAGGAAGAACTGGCCCAACGAGAAGGTGTGTGGAGGTGGTTTTTCCTTCGTGTGTCCGGAGCCGTGCTTTGGTAGGAGCAGCAGCCTCGGCTGCCCACAAAGCATAACACCGCCGCTCACCTCCCACAAGCGCACCGATGACTTAGCAGAGCAAATATTCACTAAGTGCCAGGCATTAGGCCAAATTCTTTGTAGATGTTAACTTATGTACTCCTCGAAGCACCCCGTAAGGTGGGCGTCACAAGAAGGATTCAGACTGCGGACCACCGAGCGCCCCCCTCTTGCAGCCAGAGATATGGGGCCTGGGTGAGGTTACAGAACCTGCCCAAGGACCCAGTCAACACGTGCATGGTCAGGCAGGGGTCAAGTCTGAGCTCCTCGAGATAGCTTTTACCTGCTACCCTGAGTTGCTTCCTGAACAATGGCATTTTTAGGTATCTTTGCATCTTAGTAATAACAGTGTCTAATCCTGCTTGGCAAAATGGTTGGCTGAGGGCGGTTCTACTCTGTTGCTGCCATTCTAAACCCAGAGCAAACATCAGCTTCGGAGTCCAGAGCTGACACTAGAAGCAAGGGTGACCAACCAGTTGAGACCTCCAGGTCGCTAGCCTATAGAACGGGTTCTCTAAGTCAGGCGTTGTGTCCACACAGCGGCAAAGCTAAAGAAGAAACCCTTTCATGGCCCAGCTACTTGGGTATTCCAGGTCAAACATCTCCAGAGGAGTTATCTAATTCATCCTGTTTTTATAACAGTGACCCAAGGTTCAGAAATAAGACCACACCTCCTTCATGGCCCTTGTCCTGACCCAGGCTAGAGAATTAAGAGTCCAAAGACAGGGAGCATCTCTTAGGGGCCAGGAGCTCCCAGATGACTTCACAGACAGGGTTCATCCCCCGAATACACAACTCCTCTCTCCCATGAGGAACAGAACAGACTGTAAATGTGTACTTCTGGAGCAAAAAGGCTCAGGAGTCAGCATGGGCACCTGGCCTTCTGCCTGTAGATACTCTCAGTGCAGAGCCCTATGAGGCCAGAGAAAAATCCGGGAGGTAACAATAACCCACATTTTAGAGAAGTGGTGCTCTATTGTTTGCAAAACACTGTTGTATCTTATGTGAGTCAAACAAAAAACAAAAAACACCTATCTATGGAGGTAGTGACCATGACCCCATTTCATGAATGAGGAGATCCAAGTTTGGTTGTTAAGTGACCGTTAGATCAGTAGACTCAACGTCAGTAAGTTCCATGGGGTCAGGGCAGTGTCTTTCTTAGTCCTTCCCCTTATTCTGCTTCAGACTCAGGGCCAAAGCCCAGCCCCTAGCAACAGGCCCCACCCACAGTAAGTCATCACGGGGTAACTGCTGAATAAAGGGGTGAAGTCACCTGACCAGGGTCCTGCAGGAAAGCAGGGTGAGGTTTCGGACCCTCTGATGCTGGATGCTGCCTTTGCGGTATGTGGTACGGGAAGAAGGGAACAGACTCTCAGACAGGGGTGCAGTGGTGGAGGAGATGGGTGGGGAGAGGGGGTAAGCGCCCAAGTCTACTCCCTGACGGATCAATCAGGTGCTGGTGGTACCATGCTCTGACTTGGAATTTTCTTCAAAACTTCCTAGTCTGTGAAGAAGCCAGAAAATGGGATGCACTACAATTAGCAAAAAATGCCTTGTGGAGAGATTTAGACCCCAATCATAATTTACATTTGCAGATATGCAGATCTCTGAGTGCATGGCTTCTGCCCTGATTACTAATTAATGAGGTGCCAACCTGCCTGTGGAAGCAAACAGTGCTGATTATGTCAGTCTTGGGGGACGGAGACGCGTTGAGGTCTGAGAAGGTAGAAGATTCCTTTAACATACATTTCAGTGAATTCAAAGAACAAAATGGGGACAGAAGGCGGGTGTAAACGGAAGCAGAAAGTTAGGAGAGAGAAATGTGGCTATTGGCCCTTCCGCATCTTGGAGAGGTAAATCTCGATGATTTCACAGACATCATCCCATGCATATTTTAGTACTGAGCGTCCATTTATGTAATCAGCTGGCTGAATTCTGAATGAATTTGGATGCAGATGCATCGGTACAACTTAGAGAAGAGTGCCATAGAGGAACACACCAAAGGAGGAGAAAAGACAAGCAGCATTCTTGGAGGGTAGGCCCTTTCCCGCTCATCCACTTTACACACCCTGAGGTCCTTCCTCTCCATCAGGTGTCCTGGGATGCTTGCTCGGTGGGAGGGGATCAACAAGAGGCAAAGGCCACAGAGTTACCACACAGAGCAAGCCCCGAACAGAGGGACACGGAAAACCATTTCTTGCAATGTCTTCAACAGATCTTTACACCAGAGACGTATCCCCCACTTTTCCCAGAGCAGGAAGCACATGGGGCCGGCTCCTCCCTCCCCCGTCTGACTCCTTCATTGAAAGAAACAGACAGTATTACATGAGACAGTTGGTCACCACCTACCGTTTGACTTTTCACTATCTGCAGGTTTCATCTGAATGGGATGATGCATCTAAAAATACAAAAGTGAGAAAGTAAAGGCAGATTGAACAACTGTATGAACAGTCTCAGAAACCCCACACTATTAAACTTGAGTCCTCAAACTGTTACAAGGACACATCAGTAATAACAGGATCTCTCCCCGTCAAAAGTAAACGCATGAAAATGCAAGCCTGTGGTGACGTTCAGGAATAGAACCCTTTTGAGTCACTGGGCCCTGCGACACAGGATTGGGCTTTGTAGTCGGACCTGAGTTTGAAACCTGGTTCTGCCACTCAGTATAGTTTCTGCCCATATCTTATAGGCAGTTCTGGCTCTGCCGTTCATCATCATTGCCACATGATTTTGGGCAAGCGCGCTAACTTCTCTGAGCCTCAGTTTCCTTATCTGTGCAACAGAGGTAACACCTGCACGGCAGGAATGAAATGAGCAAAGGCATATAAAGGGGGCGCCGTGAACAGGGGCCAGGACATGCTGGGAAAAATGAACTACTGTTATTCTGTAGTATATTACACATTTAAATGCAGATTGTCTTTGTTTTTCTTCTGGCCATGCTCTCTGCTGCAGGGATTTTTCTTAGACCTCAAAATTATGAGTAATTTGAAGGTCTAGCAGTTGATTGATTTAGGCGCTATTACGTAATTTTTCTCAAATACAAAGTATGACAGAGGAATGCAGAGCTACTAAAGGGATGGAGGAGGGAGGGGAGGTGGGAGGGAGGGGCAGGAGGCATGGATCTGACGATCAGGTTCGCTTGGTAGGTGTGCAGGAGTGAGAGGAACCTGAGACAGAGTGGCGCCAAGGTCCTGAATCGTGGTGCCCCTGGGTGCTCTGTGGCTCTTTACACAATGCCCATCTCACCACCGTGCACGATCCACGGAGTTTACTCCAAGCGCAGAATGCTACCACCATTTCCAATTAAAATAAATTCATCCAACCACTTTCAAAGGTCCTCTCGCTTTATATTTCATCATACCCCAAGGAACCTCAGAGCCACAGTGTAGATGGAATCACTGGCCTTGCAAATGCTTTTATTATAATGGGTCCCGTTCTCTCTGAACCTTTAATTCCCCCAGTGGACTTCCATCACTTGCAAGCCCCAGCTCTGGGTTTTATCTAATTTAAAGGAAAGGGGAATGGTACTTGGCTCTGGCACTTAAATGATGGAAAATTATCATCAGGCAGTTAGGGCCATGTGTAGCTAATGCCTGGCAGGGTCTTCAAAACACAAGGGGAATGGGAAAGAGGGAGTACTATCAGGGGACGAGAGGCTAAATAATTCAGGGCTGCTTCATTTATCCTTTTTTTTTTTTTTTTAATGTTTTATATATTTATTCATGAGAGTCAGAGAGAGAGAGAGAGAGGCAGAGGGAGAAGCAGGCTCCCCGCCTAGCAGGGAGCCCGATGCGGGACTCGATCCCAGGACCCCGGGATCATGACCTGAGCCGAAGGCAGACGCTTAACCATCTGAGCCACCCAGGCACCCTGCTTCGTTTATTCTAAAAGGCAAGATGCTCTTATGCATAGAACATAGGCCTTTACATGTGGGGTCTACTCGGATTCCCACTCCATTAACATACTCAATTTGTGGAGGAGAGACTAGAATGAGAATGGAATGTTCAGGGGTCAGCAAGTAGAGCAATCTTTTCAGAAAAGACTGGAATTTATCCCTAAAAAGCAGACAGAAGTAAAATGTGGAAAAGTCCTGGTTTGGGCTGGGTAAGGTGGGCTCTATCCTACAGCTAATGCTTGGGGAAGATGGGCTGAGTCCATCTCAGGGTAGGGTAGCTTCTACCCAGGGTAGAAGGTGGCTACCCTTCTAGCATGGCTTTATCCATCTCTTCAGCAAAGATGGGTGAAGTACCCACTGTGTCTCAGGCTCTAGGCTAGGAACTGGGGAACAAGGCCCAATAAAGAATTTCAGGCCCTTCGGGTGCTCAGTGTGTATGGGGGAGGCTGATGTGTCAACAGCCCCAGGAGCAACATGGGAAGTGCTATGCTAGACAGAAGAGCAAGGGGGTGCAGGAGCTCAAGGGAGCAAGCACTTCATTCTGCCTGGGGAGGAAAGTGAAGGCTTCTTAGCAAAGGGGATATGTGATTCGAGTCCTAAAGGTCAAGTTGGACTTGCTCGCAGAAGAGGGGGAAATGGCATCTGAAACCAAGAGAATATCCTGTGCAAGGCACAATGGTGAGAAAAAGCATACTTCCTCCTAGCAAGGAGGCCAAAATGTGTGTGGGGAAGGGCGCAAGAAGGAGATGCGAAGGCAGTTGGCACCTGGGTCTCAAGAGGATCCTGTGTACTAAGGAACTGAAATTGTGTCTAAAAGTCAAGTCAGGCATAGAAGATTCAGGTAGCAAGGGCAACAAGATCAAATCTAAATTCCAGAAAAGTCCTTTCTGGCTACGATGTGGTGGATAAATTGGGACAGGGTCAGGGGGGGCCGCTAAGAGGCTACTGCGGACATGCGTGTGAAATCGATGGTCTAAACCTCAGAGGCAACTGGCTGGTTGTGGGGATGAGGGGGAATGAGAACCATCACGGGAGCATGGCTCAAAGAGGGGAAACATGAGAAAAGTAGTTTTGGGGGAGACTGATTAGTGCAGGTCTGGACATGCCACACTCGATGTGACTGGGGCTGGAGACAAGTTGGGTGCCACAGAGCACCCAGGCTGTAGTGACGGCTCTGGGGCCATGGGCATGGGTGAAACTGTCCATGAGGGAACGTACAGTGAAAAGAGCCAAGAGCCAAGGACTATCAAGAGAACCATAGAGAATATCAAGAAAAAGGAAGCGAAGAGGTTTTGAGCAGGAATAACTGGTTACGCAGGAGCCCCGCGGGAGAGCTGTCAGAACAAGGTGATGGTCAGAGCATGCTACGATGGAAATGCCCAAGTATCCTTTTGGATATGACAATACGATTTTCTTCTGGGAACTGATCAAAAGCAGTTTCTGTGGGGCGGTGGGGCCAGAATGCCACACTGCAGGAGCTGGGGAGTAATAGGGAGGAGAGCAGCAGGAGATACGAGAACTGCACACGACTATCTCAAGAAGATTCGCTCATTGGAGTCTGGGGCAGAGGATGAGGATGTGGCATCTTTCTTTTCCAGAGAGCAAAGACAACAGGCCAACGTGCTGAAAAGGGTCAGATGAGAGTCACAGGTTGAGGCAAGGAGACAGGAGGTGAGTGTACCTACACTATGTACAGGACACAAAAATGAATGAAGAGGACTCTTGCCCTCAGCGAGCTTCCTATCCATCATGGCAGCTGATGTGCACAAAGAGAAAGAAGAACAAATAGTGGCAAACATCAGAAAAGGGGCCTAGACAGAGTGCTATGGGCATTCAGCCGGACCTCTGATGTGCACGGAGGTCTGGGGCAGCAGCTCTGGGAGCTTCTGCAAGAACAGAAATCGTTCTGCTCTAAAGCTGTCAAGGGCCTGGGGAGCATTCAGCCCAATGCTCTTCATTTATACGTCTGAAGGGAACCGTGACTTCACGCACAGCTGACTGACGACAGAGTTGGGATCAAACATCTAAGCTCTCTCCATTTCATTCAGGGCCGATTACCCCCAGATCACACTGCTTCTCTACTAAATGTCCAACATGGGACTTGGACGCACGAGCCTACAATGAAGGACCGCAGGCCCCACCCACTGAAGGCGCTGCCGTACCCCACCAGGCGGAAGTCACCTTCCCTCCTTTGACCTCCCTGAACACTTCATCTACGCACTTTATGATGAGTATTACTCCAAGACTTGACTCTTGGTTTTCCTGCAGCTGCCGAGAGACTCAGCTCCGTTTCTGACCTGAGACTGCCCCGAAGGCTCTGGAATGTAAGATCAGTGGTAAGAACATGGCCATTGCCACTGCAGACTTGAACTTTGCTCTGGTCCTCCCCTGGCCCCGAGAGAGAGAAAGTCAACTTCACATAGTTGGATTGTCGGAGCATGGTGAATTCTGAATGGGCGGTCACCCTCCTTCAGAGGAAGGTGGTGAGGACTTTGGGAAGGAAGATGAAGACTGTGGGGATCATGTGTGTACAGCACTGTGACCTTCTTGGAGAGGGGTGTTCAATCAGTACTATATTAAGAATGGCTCATTATCATGGACAGTGCATTTGAGTTATACATTTATGGGATATAAACATCAAGGAAGACCAAAAAAAATGGTCTGGAGGAGTTGTTTTCGTAATGTTGTTGCACTTCCTCAAAATTTCATTATTCCAAAGAAGTCTGGGAGATTTGTTGAGTGGAGCGAGAAAGTGACGGAAAGGAGCCGGCATTTAGTGGAAAGTTTCAAGGTGTAATAAAGGGATTCCTTTCCTACGACAGGAAATGGTTCAAAGATTTGACACAGTCAGACTAGCACTACGCATTTGTTCACTTATTTCTTCGTTTACCAGATGCCATGTTAGTGAGATGCTGCGAACTCACGGATGGAAGAGTCTGGTCCCACTGGAGCTTATAATACAGTGGTGCTGACAGCCACATCAGTGGCACACCCACGCGGAGACACGCAGCGTGGGGACTCAGAGATGCTGGACGCAGACACAGGGAGGGCGAGCCAGAGAAGGTGTCTGAGCCAGAGCAGAGTTTGAGTTCAGTCCTGAAGGAATCCTAACGCTCACCAGGACCCGAAGGAAGGATGTTTCAGAGTAGAGAACACACTCTGAGGCACAGAATAAGAGAAAACCAGCCATGTTGCTACAAGAGAATGATGTGACGACCTTCTGACTAAGAGAGGAAGCAACAGAAGTCACTAAAGAAGGTCATTCACCGAATACGAAATACCTAAAGCAGCATAACCAGGCTAAGAGTGAGGGATATGCTCAGGGATTGGAGAATTTCAAGTAAGATGAAAACAATGCAAGTCTACTCAAGCTTGAATTAAAACTTGGAACCAGACTGGTGGCCAGCAACCCTACCCTCACCACGCCATCAAGAACGAAAGATGAAACCCAGGGTGTCCAAACCACTGCTTCTCTAGACTATGTCTGTTGCGAGGGGGGAAAA